CTTGACAAAAAAAAACTTTTCTTCTCAATTGCTAAAGAATGTCCTGTCCGCAATGTATTGATTTTGACATTTTCACATTTGAAGCATGTAGAATACATAACTTAGCAATGCACTGGCTTAGTAAGCTCAGATTTGGCAGGGAGGTTGTCATTGAGCTCTAAATGGCCACTGTTGATTCTGACAAAGTGGTATGCGGGGGTATTCACGCCATGATAGTGGCAGTTCTAGTTTTACTAGAAAAATATTATTTTTTACTATAACTTTTTTAGTGTTAAAGGTATCTACCTCTTACTTCAAATACTTATACCTTATCATCAATTACATTTTATGTGACAATGTTCATAACTCTTGAAGCAATTTTCACAGATTTATCTCTCCTTGAACTTAGGATTTTCTTTAAGAAATATTATTAACTTCTTTACTTTTTAAGGTATCTACTTCAAACTTTAAATATATAATATTTCTTATCATAACACACATGTTGTATGACAAGGTTCATAACTCTAGCGTGACTATTTCTAGAATTATTTCCCTTGATCTTGGAATTTATGTTAACAAATGTTATTTTTATGCCACCGCAGCATCTGCGATGCGATGGCATATAGTGATTCACCTGTGTGTGTGTGTGTGTGTGCGTGCGTGCGTGCGTGCGTGCGTGCGTGCGTGCGTGTGTGTGTGTGTGTTATATAGATTATATAGTGAACTTAAAAAAATCTTCTTGTGAAAAACCACTAGTCCAATTTCAACCAAACTTGGCAGGATTGATCCTTGGGTGAAGGGGTTCCAAAGTTGTTCAAAGAATTTCATTCCATGCAGAAATCTGGTTACCATGGCAACCAAAAGGAATCATAAGAATAAATTAAAAAATCTTCTTGTAAAGACCCAAAAGGCCTAGAGCTTAGATATTTTGCATAATGCATTGTCTGGTAGACCTCTACCAAGATTGTTCAAATTATAGCCCTGGGATTAAAATCGGCCCCGCCCCGGGGGTCATTGATTTTCACTATATATACATATAGTAAAAACTTAAAATACCTTCTTATAAAGACCAAAAAGGCCTAGAGCTTAGATATTTTGCATAAGGCATTGTCTGGCAGACCCTTACCAAGATTGTTCAAATTATAGCCCTGGGGTCAAAATTTGCCCCGTCCGGGGGTCATTGATTTTTACTATATGTTCATACAGTAAAACTTTAAAATACCTTCTTTTAAAGAGCCAAATGGCCTAGAGCTTAGATATTTTACATAAGGCATTGTTTGGTAAACCTCTACCCAGATTGTTCAAATTATAGCCCTGGGGTTAAAATCGGGGGGGGGGGGGGGGATCTTGATTTTCCTTATATGTATATAGTAAAAATTTATAGTAAAAACTTAAAAATATTTCTTCTAGCAATTGACAAATGCTAGAGGTTAGTGATTTGAATGAAACATTGTGAAGTGAACTTCTAACAAGATTGTTCAAATTATAGCCCTGGGGTCAAAATTGCCCCCGCCCCGGGGATCATTGATTTTCAATATATACATATAGTAAAAAAGCTTATTGTCTGAAGGTACAAGGCTTAGAACTTTAATATTTGTTAAATAATATCATCTATAGGAACTCTACCAAAGTTGTTCAAATTTTGCCTCTAGTGTCATAATTAGCCCCGCCCCGGGGGCCATAGGTTTTCCTCATATGCATATAGTAAAAACTTAAAAAATTATCTTCTTTAAATTTACAAAGACTAGAGTTAAGATATTTTGCATGAAACATTATGTAGTGAACCTCTAGCAATATTGTACAAATTATAGCCCTGGAGTCAAAATTGGCCCCACCCCCAGGGGTCATTGATTTTCACTATGTACATATAGTAAAAAAGTAATAAATATTCTTGTCTGAAGGTACAAGGCTTAGAGCTTTGATATTTGGTATATAATATTATCTATGGGTCCTCTACTAAAGTTGTTTTAATTATGCCCCTAGTGTTAAAATTGCCCTGCCCCAGAGGCGATAGTTTTTCTTATATGTATAAAGTAAAAACTTGAAAAAACTTCTTCTCTGAATTGAAAAAAATCTTCTTCCCTGAATTGACAAAGGCTAGAGGTTAAATATATGGCACGAGACTTTGAGAAGTGAACCTTTACCAAGATTGTTCAAATTATAGCCCTGGGGTCAAAATTGGTTCTGCCCAGGGCGTCATTGATCTTTATTATGTACATATAGTAAAAAAATAAAAAAATATTTTGTCTGAAGGTACAAGGCATAGAGCTTTGATGTTTGCTATATAATAATATCTATAGGTCCTCTACCAAAGTTGTTCAAATTTTTCCCCTGGTGTCAAAATTGGCCCTGGCCGGGGGCATTGATTCTCATTATGTACACATAGTAAAAACAGAAAATAAAACAAATGTTTTTTGAATGGGAGAAAGCTACAGCTTAGATATTTGACTTGAAATGTTGTTTGGTGGACTTGTATCAAGATTGTTTTGATTTAAACCGTTGGGTCCAAAATTTTGCCTTGCCCAAGGGGACAGTGACCTACTTTCTTGTCCTTTGATGTACAGCAATGAAATTTTGACCATGTGCACAGTTTTAGTTGTAAAATTGAACTTTGATATCAGGTGACCTAGATTTTGATGATGTGACTTACTTTCTTGTCCTTTGATGTACAGCTATGAAATTTGAACCATGTGCACAGATTAAGATGTAAAGTGAACTTTGATTTCAGCTGACCTAGATTTTGACAAAGTGTCTTACTGTGTTGTCCTTTGATGTAGTCATGAAATTTAGTCTGTGTAAAATATGACCTTCACCACCAAATTCACTAGACTCCAGTGCATTGATATATTCCTACTCTGATCTTTTATTGAGTTAACAACAGATTTAACCACTAATCTGATAATAGGAATAAGATAGGTCAGGGATCTATGCATTATGACAATCTTCAAAATTGTTTAATGCGGTGGCATAGCATTTTTCTCAAATGCAATCTTGTTTTACTATAACTTAATACATAATTGATTTTTCTTTCATTGTTTTGTCCTCCTTACTGCGTCCAGTATTTTATTAGTCGAGCTTGGCTGTCTCCTGTGACAGCTCTTGTTTTAAATATTATAGTGGTCAGAGTTTGTTAGAAATATAAATGTTAATATGATATGTTCTACTAGTACATGTGTAATAAGGAACAGCATTTTTAGCTCGACTATTCGATAAGAATAAGTAGAGCTAATTTGTAGTCACCCGAGCCTCGGTGTTGGCATCGGCGTCAGCGTAATCACTTATGTTAAAGTTTTTGTAATACCTCAAATATTTTCAAACTTGATTGACATATGGCTTTGAAACTTTGCACACTAGTTCACCATCATGACCCCATCATGTAGACAGGAGGAGGTAACTCTATCAAGCATTTTGATAGAATTATGCCCCTTTTTCGACTTAGAATTTGCGTTAAAGTTTTTGTAATACCTCAAATATTTTCAAGGTCCATTGACATATGGCTTTGAAACTTTGCACATTTGTTCACCATCATGACCCCAACCAATCTCCATGCAGTGATCTCCCCTTAATTCCTCGGCGTAGATCTCTGCCACCAAGGTCCCGATATATCAGAATTTCTGATATACTATATTTTTTTAAAAATTGTTTTATCTACTGCTTTTATCTATTAGATAAGTTCTTTCTCATTTATTTAACAATGTTTATGAATAAATAAATAAATAAATAATATGAATATTTAGAAATAATTTTAAAAATTATGTGAAAATTTTGTACGAGAAAATATTTTGATATTTTATATTTTTTAGCTTTCGAATTTATTTTTCGTTGTTTTGTATACCTTTGATAATTTTTTGATAAACTATATCTAATGTAGGCACTTAAAGTTAAAAATAAAACAGAAAGAGAAAAATGACTTTAGATTTTCTATGTAACGGTCGATATTTACATTTGAATTTCGACGTTACGTCATGTGACTTTCATCATCATGTGACGTCTTTGAAGGCAGTGATTACAATTCTGCGAAAGGAGGTAATCACTGTGAGGAGTTTGGACCCCAACATGTAGACAGGGGGAGGTAACTCTATCAAGCATTTTGACAGAATAATGCCCCTTTTTCTACTTAGAATTTATGTTAAAGTTTTTGTAATACCTCAAATATTTTCAAAGTCCATTGACATATGGCTTTGAAACTTTGCACACTTGTTCACCATCATGACCCCAACATGTAGACAGGAGGAGGTAACTCTATCAAGCATTTTGACAGAATTATGCCCCTTTTTCGACATAGAATTTACGTTAAAGTTTTTGGAATACCTCAAATATTTTCAAAGTCCATTGACATATGGCTTTGAAACTTTGCACACTTGTTCACCATCATGACCCCAACATGTAGACAGGAGGAGGTAACTCTATCAAGCATTTTGACAGAATTATGCCCCTTTTTTGACTTAGAATTTAGGTTAAAGTTTTTGTAATACCTCAAATATTTTCAAAGTCCATTGACATATGGCTTTGAAACTTTGCACACTTGTTCATTATCATGACCCCAACGTGTAGACAGGAGGAGGTAACTCTATCAAGCATTTTGACAGAATTATGCCCCTTTTTCGACATAGAATTTACGTTAAAGTTTTTGTAATACCTCAAATATTTTCAAAGTTCATTGACATAAGGCTTTGAAACATGTTGAAATTTTATACTCTTATTTGAGAGCATAATAGGACTCTCTCCAAGGCCTATAACTGTTATATGGACTTAAAGAAAAATTTTGCCTTTTTCTTTCCTTAGAAAATTTTTTTACTATCAAGCACTAAGAATTGTCGAGCGTTGCTGTCCTACCGACAGCTCTTGTTGCTTTGCTCCTTCACTTTGGTCAAATAATTTAAGGGATATAAGTTTTCAGCTTATATCTTTATTAAATTATTTTGAAGACTGGTTTCTAGACAATTGATGTTTAAAGTTCATAAACTTGGTTAGACAGATGTTTTCACTTACAGTCTTAAAGATAAATTTATACTTAACATAAGTTATTATACTTTACAGCTGGGTTTGGAGCTAATACATCTACAGGTGGAAGCAGCCTGTTTGGTCAGCTTACAGCCCAGGAATCTACCGGAGGCAGTCTGTTTGGTCAGCTTACAGCCCAGGAATCTACCGGAGGCAGCCAGTTTGGTCAGCCTTCAGCCCAGGCATCTACCGGAGGTCTGTTTGGTCAGACGTTTGGTGCCGCAACCACCACCACCCAAAGTGGGTTTGGATTTGAAACTTACACCAGTACAGGAGCTGGTGGGCTCTTTGACCAGGCTCAAAAGGATAAGGTAGACATTGTTTCATATTTAATTAAACATGTGTGGAAACAGTAATCAGCTTTATGTATCTATCTGTTACACAATGTGTAAATCTTCAACATCATGTTATATCAAGATCATTTTAAATTAAACCTTTTCTCATATTTGGAATGATATTTCATCACTGTTGAAAAAAAGATTGACTAGGAAAAAGTGACCAGAAGTAATTAGAAAAAACAAAATAAAGTGAACTATACCATCAATATTAAAATGAATTTCTTATAATGTGAACATAAAAAAGAGTGTTGTCTAAAATAGAATGAACATTTGGTTGTCTTTTTGTGAATTTTTATGCCCCGCCATATAATGGCTGGGGCATATAGTGTTACCCTGTTCCGTAATTCCATCATTCTGTCATTCCGTCATCATCAGTTTCCGTTCATTATACCCCCGCACAACAAAGTTGTAAGGGGGGTATACTGGAATCAGCTTGTCCGTCCGGCTGTCCGTCCGTCCGGCCGTCCGTCCGTCGGTTTTTTCTTCTCCGCCCAATAACTTAAGATTCCTTTGACCCTTAGTCTTCATATTTGGCATGGAGGTTAGTCATGATTAGTAGATGACCCCTATTGATTTTGAGGTCACTATGTCAAAGGTCAAGGTCACAGGGGCCTTGACTTCAAAAAGCTTGTCCGCCCAATAACGTAAGATTCCTGTCGGGAATTGCGCTCATAATCATGTGCCGTTAAATGACGCCAACGTATGCGTGACGTTAGAGTACGTCACTTCCTATGTTTTGTAATATATAACGTTAGTAGTTTGAATAGACGTATAAACCAGACACAACGTGTTGTACATTATTACAGCGTCGTTTTTCACCCTATCCGACATTGGTGCCGTGACCAAAACATTATGAAGATAGATAAATTGCGATCAGTGAGAGAAGGTCAACGAAGATGTGTAGAAATTCAGCTTGAACGAATTGAACGGGGGAAAGAGAATTCATCGATGATAGAATTTAACGCAATTCTCGAGGCCATTGTCAGAAAAGCAGAGACGATCAAATTTTTAAACGAAAAGATTTTAGAACTAACGGAAGTAATCGACATCGAGGAGGAGGTAGTAAATAGTGAAGAATATGGATTAACGTTGGAGATAAAGGTGAGAGAACTTCGAGCTTATAGCGAAAACAGAAAAAGCAACACTGAAGAACAACAGAATGCTTATAGCGAACCATCTAACCCGCAAAACCAGAACCAAGACGGAAGTGGTTCCCTGATCGAAAATAATAACGTGAATAATGGTAACAGTTCTTTGCAAAATGTGAGTACATTTCATTCAAACACGTCGCTTTATCACAGACTGCCGAAATTATCACTGCCTGTCTTTAGTGGTGACATTCTCGAATGGCAAAGTTTTTGGGATGCTTTTGATTCATCTGTTCATCAAAACCCGAATCTTACAGAAGTTCAAAAATTTAATTATTTGAAGACGCAACTAGAAGGCAGTGCGGCTCAAGTTATTCAAGGATTTGCACTTACGCATGCAAATTACATACAAGCAGTCGATTTACTGAAGGAGAGGTTCGGACAGACTCATAAAATCATTCATGCGTATATACAGGCGTTACTAAACCTGCCAGCCCCGAGCAATACTCTACACAGTATGAGAAATTATATCGACAAATTAGAAGCTTATATCCGTGGATTGGAGTCCCTAGGCCAAAATCAAAATACATATGGAACGCTTTTAGTACCAGTCATTATAGACAAACTTCCGGCAGAAATACGAAAGAGTTTAGCACGAGAAAATGGCAGCGATGAGTGGTTATTAGAAACTTTACGAAGAGCGTTATACCGTGAACTGAATATCATGGAGGCCGGGCAGACTACAGATGATTTAACATGTTATAGAACTACAGCGTCGTTTTTCACGGGCGCGAGACAGAAAACAGGAACCGGAAGTCACGTGACACAGAATTCCGCACGCGAAACGTTTGATGACCAGGAACTGTGTATATTTTGTAACGAATTTCACAATACCAAAAACTGTACAAAAGTAACTGATGTGAGAGCTAGAAAAGACATTATAAGAAATAAACATTTATGTTTTAATTGCTTGAATATTCACCACCAAGTCATTAACTGTCCATCAAACTACAGGTGCTTTAAATGTAGAAGAAAACATCACACTAGTATATGTGAAAGTAATCCAGATCCAAATCTAAATACCGGTGCTAGCGAGTCAACCCAATCTTCAACCGAATATCAACCCACAAATCAAGCACAGACTGCAACTTTACAATCAAGCACCGCACATGAAGCGTTCATAGATTACGACACGTAGAGAACGAGAAGGAGTTAGTTATTATTGAAATTTCACGAACACAGACTATAAACATTTATAAGATAATGAATTATTAATTGAGAGACATTTGTGTTATTTCAAAACAATGACTTTTTATTTAAATGTCTTTTAGAAAGGAGTTAGAATCTATATCTAAGATTTGTTGAAATTAACTGATATTAATTTTAATAATTTATCATTTTGCGGCCCCCAGAATGTCGGGAATTGCGCTCATAATCATGTGCCGTTAAATGACGCCAACGTATGCGTGACGTTAGAGTACGTCACTTCCTATGTTTTGTAATATATAACGTTAGTAGTTTGAATAGACGTATAAACCAGACACAACGTGTTGTACTTTATTATCGTAGTATAATACCCTAACCGACAATTCCTTTGACCTACAGTAGTCATATTTGGCATGGAGGTTAGTCATAATAAGTATATGACCCCTATTGATTTTGAGGTCACTAGGTCAAAGGTCAAGGTCACAGGGGCCTTGACTTCAAAAAGCTTGTCCGCCCAATAACTTAAGATTCCTTTGACCCACAGTCTTCATATTTGGCATGGAGGTAAGTCATGATTAGTAGATGACCCCTATTGATTTTGAGGTCACCAGGTCAAAGGTCATGGTCACAGGGGCCTTGACTTCAAAAAGCTTGTCCGCCCAATAACTTAAGATTCCTTTGACCCACAGTCTTCATATTTGGCATGGAGGCAAGTCATGATTAGTAGATGACCCCTATTGACTTTGAGGTCACCAGGTCAAAGGTCAAGGTCACAGGGGCCTTGACTTCAAAAGCTTGTCCGCCCTATAACTTAAGATTCCTTTGACCCACAGTCTTCATATTTGGCATGGAGGTTAGTCGTGATTAGTAGATGACCCCTATTGATTTTGAGGTCACCAGGTCAAAGGTCAAGGTCACAGGGACTTTGACTTCAAAAAGTTTGTCTGCCCAATAACTTTAGTTTCCTTTGACCCACAGTCTTCATACTTGGCATGGATGTTGATCATGATTAGTAGATGACCCCTTATGATTTTAAAGTCACTGGATCAAAGGTCAAGGTCATAGGGACTTTGACTTCAAAAAGTTTGTCAACCCATTAACTTAAGATTCCTTTGACCCACAGTCTTCATATTTGGCATGGATGTTGATCATGACTTTAAGGTGACCCCTATTGATTTTGAGGTCACTGGGTCAAAGGTCAAGGTCACAGGGACCTTGAAAAAAAAAGCTTTTCTTCTTATTTGCTAAAGAATGTCCTGTCTGCAATGTTTTGATTTTGACATTTTCACATTTGAAGCATGTAGAATACATAACTTAGCAATGCACTGGCTTAGTAATATCAGATTTGGCAGGGACGTTGTCCTTGAGCTCTAAATGGCCACTGTTGATTCTGACAAAGTGGTATGCGGGGGTATTCATGCCATGATAGTGGCAGTTCTAGTTATCTTAGTAACAGTTGAACACATTCGACTCAAAATTTGGCATATGGATATGTCATGAGAAAATACAGGTCAAGTTCAAATTTGGTCATGGTTCGATGATTTTTGGCAGAGTTATGCCCCTTTTACTTTGAAAATAATATGAAATTTTCAGTTTCCGTTCATTATCTTCCCAAAGGTATTAGACATTCAACTCAAACTTGACAAATGGATATGTCATAAGCAAATACAGGTCAAGTTCGAATTTGGTCATGGTTTGATGATTTTTGGCAGAGTTATGCCCCTTTTACTTTGAAAATTATATGAAATTTTAAGTATCCATTCATTATCACCCCAAGAGTTACGCCCCTTTTACTTTGAAAAAAGGAACTTTTCAGTTCACATTCATTGTCTCCCCAACAGTTGTACATATTCAACAACAAATTAAAGATATGGATATGTCATAAGAATGCATTGATCAAGTTTGAATTTGGTCATGGTTTGATGATTGCTGACAGAGTTATCCCTCTTGAACTTTGAAAAAAAATCAGAAATTTTAAGTTTACATAATGGTTGTACACATTCAACTCAAATTTGACATATAGATACATCTTAGGAATAAGCAGTTCAAGTTTGAATTTGGTTGTGGTTCAATGATTTTGGACAAAGTTATCTTTCTTGAATGCTGGAAAAATTTTGAATTTTCAGTTTCAGCACTCATACTTTTGTGGTATGTATGTACCCATTATTTTGGCTACAAATATGCATCATATGCAATTTACAAAAGGTTAACACTGAATAGTTTCAGTGCCTTGAACTTTGTATAAAAATGGTTTGTGTTAACATTTAATGGTTTTAAGGGCTTTGAACTTAAAATGAAAAAAAAAAATTTGTGCAAACAAATTTGTAACAAAGTATTATGTCATCTGAAATTTTGGTTGCATCCATGGCATGATGACACATTTCTAGTTGGGGTTTTTGTTGGCCTTTTTTTAGACACCAACTGATATTTAAAATATTGTTTTGTTACTTGTCTTTGGTTTCACTCACTAAAATTGTTTATCTGTATTCCAGCCATCATTTGGTACGACAACAACTACACAACCAACAACAGGGACTACCACATCTGGTCAACCGGCTGCAACAGGGACAGGATTTGATGGATTTCAGACATCTCAAACGGTAAGTGCAGTGATCAGACTTAAAAGCAAGTTAGACCTCTACCCAGATTGTTCAAATTATAGTCTGGGGGTCAAAATTGGCCCTGTCCGGGGAGCATTGATTTTCAGTATGTACATACACTGGAGCCGCGATATAGCGCTCTTCGGTATAGCGCTAATCTCAGTAGAATGCTCATATGCCTTGGCTCCCAAAAAAAAAATCGTATTTTTCGCTGATTATAATTTCTTTTTCATGTATATCAATACCGCACCTTATCCACTATAACGCTTGTTCAATGTGTCAGTCGAGTGCAATTAACAGTCATAATTACGTCACTCATGATAAGAAGGTGTGAAGTCATACACAGGTAAGCGTTAATCCGCTCTTTTGTTCATTTTGAACTGTTGATCAGTCAGGTATCAAACTGTTAGCTAAAACATGCAAACACCAAAGAGTTAAGTAAATCACACAAGCGTACAATTAATTTTAAAAAGCATGCACTTTCCATCTATCGGCAAAAAAGTTGTTGAGGATGACTGATATTTTCACAAGTGACAGCAGGAAAGACGATTAATTTAGTCCCATCCACTAGGTATCAATTTTCATGACCACACATAACACACGTTAACACCGCTGTTTTACTGGAAATTTATAAACAATTGTACATTCGTGGTTTATATTTTTAATTCGTAAATTTCATGTTTATATTAAAAATATTCAGTAATGCTTTACAAAATAATTAATAATAATATATAAAAAAGCTTGGACTGATATCCATTGGAAGGTAATCCACTAACAAGCGTTATATGTTTCGGCGGTGGGTGGGGTAATGCGATATTTTCGCAATAATTACACAATGAGCGTTATAAAAAGTTACTCGTTACAACGCTGTCTTGAGATCATGGACCCCAACATGAGCGCTATATCGCGGCTCCAGTGTATTGTAAATTCTTAAAAATCCTTCTTTTCTGAAGATATAAGGCTTAGTCTAGCTTCTAGCTTTGGTATTTGGTAACTGATACCATCTTTATGTCCTCAGTTGATCAAAGTTTAAGCTTTTCTCTACTGTCAAAATTGGCCCAACAGGGGGGGGGGGGGGGGCATAGATTTCCAGTATGGAGAAACACCAGAGACTACTGTTTCAGTCAAAATATCATGGAAATTGGTAAGAAAGGTTGTTCTGCTGATTTCTAGGGCAGTTTCAAATATAGGTTATCTGGGGTCAAAAACTAGGTCAACAGCCCAAATATTAAAACCTTGTTAACACTGGGGGCTACTGATTTGGTTCAAATATCCTTGAAATTGGTTGTTAAGATGATTTCTAGCCCAAGTTTGAATATGGATCATCTTGGGTCAAAAAGAAGGTCATACAGCCCAAATATCGAAAAACCTCGTTAAAATTTAAAAGGCTACTTTTTTGGTCCAGATATCCTGGAAATTTGACAAAAAGGGTGCTAAGTATTATTTCTATCTAGCTGAAGTTCAGAGATTGTTCGTCTATGGTGAAAAACTAGGTTACACAGCCCAAATATGGATTAACCTTGCTAACACCAGGCCCTTTTTCCTCTATTTTGGGAAAACGCCACATGGCAAATTTGGAAAAGTTATCATGAAATTTGCCAATTTGGAAAAATATACTAGCATTCAAGGTGTTACAATAGTTAAAATAAATCTTACTTAAACTGTTCAGCTTTTTCTGTCATATAAAAAATACAAGGACAGGCTAAAAAGTGTACAAATGTTAACTGATACCAATTAAAAATCCTGTTTTTAATTCACTAAACCTGAATATATTCCGTGACGTTATTTCACGACACCAAAATTGAAAATGTGGTACTTTTTCTTTCAAATTGCCGACTTCTAGATTGGGAATATTTTTTTTGGATTGGGAAAGAAAAACATAATTTGGATGGGGAATGGGGCCCATATTCGTACCCATGGGATAGGGGGAAAAAGGCCTGAACACTGTAGAGGATACGGTGTACATGTAGGTCCAGATATCCTGGAAATTAGTCAGAAAAGGTTGTTTAGATCGTTTTTAGTGGATGTTTGAATATGGGTCATCTGGGGTCAAAAACTAGGTTACACAACCCAAATTATGGAAAAATATTGTTTATATTGTAGAGGTAATATTTTCATCCCAAATATCCTGAAAATTTGTCAGAAAGTTTGTTATCCCCCGCCGATGGAATCGGGAGGGGGATATAGTTTTGGCGTTGTCCGTCCCTCCATCCGTCTGTCCGAATTTCGTTTCCGGAGTAGTTCTCTGCAACTACTGGCTGGAATTCAATGAAACTTTATGGGAATCATCAATATCAAGAGGAGATGCGCATCTGACCGTCCGTTCGTCCGTCCTTCCATCCGTCTGTCCGTCCGTCCGAAATTTCGTTTCCGGAGTAGTTCTCTGCAACAACTGGCTGGAATTCAACGAAACTTTATGGGAATCATCAATATCAAGAGGAGATGCGCATATTGTCGGCTTGTTCCGGTCAGACACTTTAACTCAGAGTTATTGCCCTTGATTAGTTATGTAGTATGCATATAGAGTAAAAATCGTTTCCGCGCTAACTTCTCTGCAATTACTGGCTGGAATTCAACGAAACTTTATGGGAATCATCAATACCAAGAGGAGATGCGCATATCATCGGCTTGTTCCGGTCAGACACTTTAACTCAGAGTTATGGCCCTTGATTAGTTATGCAGTATGCATATGGAGTAAAAATCGTTTCCGCGCTACTTCTCTGCAACTACTGGCTGGAATTCAACGAAACTTTATGGGAACCTTCAATACCAAGAGGAGTTGCGCATGTCGTCGGCTTGTTTGGGTCAGACACTTTAACTCAGAGTTATGGCCCTTGATTAGTTATGCAATATGCATATGGAGTAAAAATCATTTCTGGAGTAGTTCTCTGCAACTACTGGCTGGAATTCAACGAAACTTTATGGGAATTATCAATATCAAGAGGAGATGCGCATATCGTTGGCTTTTTCCGGTCAGACCCTTTAACTCAGAGTTATGGCCCTTGATTAGTTATGTAGTATGCATATAGAGTAAAAATCGTTTCCGCACTACTTCTCTGCAACTTACTGGCTGGAATTCAACAAAACTTTATGGGAACCTTCAATACCAAGAGGAGATGCACATATCATCGGCTTGTTCCGGTCAGACACTTTAACTCAGAGTTATGGCCCTTGATTAGTTATGCAGTATCCATATAGAAAAATATTTGTTTCCTCGCTACTTCTCTGCTACCACCGGCTGGAATTCAATGAAACTTTATGGGATACTAAGAGGAGATGTGCATATAGTCGCCTTGTTCCAGTCAGATACTTATAACTCAGATTTATGGCCCTTGATTAGTTATGTAGTATGCATACATCTCATTGGCATTTCCAGATTTTACTATTTAACACAAAGTTATGGCTCTGTTATTTCCCTGAATATTTATCAAGTTCAAAGAATATTACTGTTTATGCCATGATTAATATATAAATAAAGCCTTATGTCTTCGGTTGTTGTGTTAATAATAACCAGTACTCGGCGGGGGATATAAATTCAACGAATTTGCTTGTTTTGATGTTTTTCTTGCTCAGCTTTGAACATGGGTCATCCGTTCACACAGACCAAAAATGGAAAAACTTTGTTATCTTTCTAGAGATTACATTTTTAGCCCAAATATCCTGGAAGTTACAGCATTGTAAATACAGCAAAAACTTTAATCTTTTGATGACATTTCAAAAATGCCCAAACTACAATATGTGGGATAGCGGCTTTAAGGTCAAATAAAGGTCATCTGGGGTAATAAGACTAGGTGGGCATATATTGAAAAACCTTGTTTACATTTGCACTATATAATATAACGTTATGATATCATTTTAAGTTTGTGAAATTTTATCTGCTTTTAATTATAAATTAAAATCTTGAAAATCAGGTGAGCAATCCAAAATATCTTTTTCAAATAGATGCATGAATGCCTTTAATAGACTTGATGGTGGGGCGTCCGTGGCCGAGTGGTTAAGGTCATTTACTTCAAACCACTTGCCCCTCACCGCTGTGGGTTCGAATCCCGACAGGGACTTTGGATTATTTCATGTGAGGAAGCTATCCAGCTAGCTTACGGAACGTCGGTGGTTCTACTCAGGTGCCCGTTCGTGCCTGAAATAATGCACGGAAGGGCACCTGAGGTCTTCCTCCACCAGTAAAGCTGGAACGTCGCGATATGACCTATACTGTGTCGATGTGACGTAAAACCCAAAACAAAACAAAAGACTTGACGGTTCATTGCATGATCACAATATTGATCAAACATATTGTAGTGGTTTATAAATTATTGCAAATGGATAATGATAGATACATTGATTATATCAATGCTGCTCAACTACCAATCACTCAGAAAAGTTTTGTAGCTCTAAATATATCTATTTTGTTCTATAACAACACATCTAAAATATCAAAAATTTAATTCAGAACACTTTGAATCTATCATGTCTAGAGAATTTTATCAAAGTGAGTCTGAACCTTTCATATTAGATTTGTTTTTCTTATTTTCAGTGTACAAGAGAAGAAAGTGGTTTAAATATACCGTCAAAAAATGATTTACAGACATTAATCAATGTCTTGGGTATCAACTGGATATTATTGTACTTGACGATTGCTACAGACAACAACAGCAAGAAGATTGAAGTACCTGAGAAGGAGGCAATGAGACATGTTATTAAACACTTTGCAGCTGCAAGGGAGAAACTGAAGGGGAATGAAAGATCACCATTTGATTTTACTCTTAGGGACTTAGTTTCTCGTTTGAATAACCTGGTTGATATCCACTGGCTATGTGTGGTTAACAGTTTGTTAAATGAGAAACTCAAAGAAAAGGAAGATGATGTTTACAAAGTCATGTCATCCATTTTCAAAAAGTTTCAAGATTTTGACACCTTCTGGTCTGCTCTGTCAATGCCACATAATGATTGTGAAGATGACAGATTTCAAGCAAATGATCTTATCAGCAATGAGCTGAAGGAACTTAGAGATGACATTAATAATGTATCTGAGCTTCCAGAAACATTAAAAGAAGACAAAAAGTTCTTTTCCTTCCTTAAAAAACAAAATTTAGTAAGCTATGCCAAATCTTTAAATTTTAAGCAATATTGCCGTAAATTTCTAATGTTAAGTAAGATTAATGTTGACATACGTGAATGGGAAAAGTATATCAACAAAATTGGTATTACTGCAGTTAGAAGAAAGAAATCTGTAGATTACTTTTGTGTTAAATACATGTATTATCTAGATAATAAGTATTTAGTGGGGCGAAAGGTCAGAAGTGAAAATGGTGGTGAGGGAAGTTTAGGATATGCATTTTGTAAAGATAAAAACATTTATCACATAACAAGTTTGCATATTTTGGTCGATGGAACATTATTCAAAAAAATGAATACATCGCTAAACCAAGTTCTAGATATAGAAAATCAATGTAAAATTGAAGGAATTGGGAATGCTGTCATTAGAAAAGGGGTGTATTCAAAAGGAGATAGTCAGTCTGCTGGGGTAGAAATTGTTTTAGTTGACACTAGTTCCGTTCTCTATGTTCCATCAAACAGTTCTTCTGATCCTACTGCCCATCATACTGTTCCTGTTCCTCCACGACAAACAAAAAGTAAGGGTTCAGTCCACCCTCTGTTTGATAAATCTGTGGGTGCCACAGGTTCAGGCTTACCTCAGTTTGATACACCTGTGACGGGTGCCACAGGTTCAGACTTGCCTCAGTTTGATACAATTAAAATGGGTAGTACAAGGCCAGCTTCTTTTGATACTGATTCTAATATAGAAGGTACATATCTATATACACCTGTAATAGATGGTAGTATCTTTCCTCCTATTGGTCAACGATATTATCAATTGAAATGTCATGACCTTCCGAATCGTTTGTATTTCGAAGGGAATAAAATGGTAGGTAATGTAATAGATTTAGAAGTATACATTCTTGGAGCAGTAACTGGTCTAGTTAAGGGAAAAATAATACAAACGGGTTGCACTTTTGAATTCTATAATCTTTCAGTAGACAAAAAGAAAACATTTTTTGATACTTTAAAATTTATTTTTACTAAATCTGAACAACAAAAGCCTACTAAATCTGAACCACCAAAGCCAGTATCCCTTAAAAACCAGTACAAGGTTGAATGGGATCCTCTTGGTTTTCCTTTTTCAAAAGAGGGGGATTCTGGGGCTGCTGTGTTTCATGTTAACAAAGAAACAGGCGAATTGACTGCAGTGGGTATTCTTACAGGTAATAATGCAACCTTAGGAGTCTCTTATGTTACACCAATAAAGGATATTCTTCATATTCTTCAGGCTAATGGTCTGAACTATGAATTAGGCCATTTTAAATTATGTCTTGGAGAGCAGGATAAAGATGTGCAACAAAAACTGTATTCTGACTTGTGTAGGGAAGTAGACATGGTCTGAGAAGCTGAATGTACTCAATTTTTTATCTGTAATATTTTACATACTAATTTTTAGACATACAGTTTCTGTTTCTGAAAGATCTGGTCATTTTCTTATGATTATGAATCTTTTTTGTAGAATATCACCTAGTTAAAAAAAATTGCCATCCTGTTTTAATAATTTTAATTCAAGTGAAAAAGCCAGAAAATAACTAAATTGTATATCATATATGATAAACTTTTGATTGATGTTGGTGAAATTGTTTTGTAATGACAAAAGTTATGTAAAAGATACTGATACGGCTGTGTGAATTGAAAGAGAAATCTTTTTCTATTTATATTTGCATATACTTTATAATTTCCATTGTGTTTTCATTATTCTTATATTTTTGCTCTACATTTTGAGGCCCTTGAAGGATATTTCATTTTACATTTGTACTTTGGCCAAATGTTCATCCAACTGAAACACAATGCTACACCAAGATTTGAGATGTCCAACTTTTAGGTCAATGTCAAAGGTTAAAGGTTTAAACCATTAAATTTTGTTTCTGCTGTACATCTTTTTGAATTATTAATACAATATAATTGATATATGGGTTAAACATTTATCTTATTGAAATAAATCATGGGTTAAACCTCATCATTGGGGGTATAGGGTCAAGGTCTGAAAATAAAGGTCAAAGGTTTTAAATTACAAGAATATGTTTGCTCTTAAATTTTAGATTTGCTAGAAAACTTCTATATATTTGGTTTGAATGTTTTTTTGTCATGTAGATGTCTTGAGAAATATTAATACTTGGGTTGATTAATAAGTCCATATTCAGGTCAAGGTTAAAGCTCAAGAATTTGAGCCAGAGAATTTGTGTCTATCATGACTATTGGGTATGCAATAGCCCATTTCACCAGCCCTTCGTAATTTATCGGAAACATTCGTAGACACGCATCACGTGGGAGGTAAAGTGCTAATATGTTTGACCAATGAAATACTGGTTCTCGAGTGTACATGTATTGTTTACATTTACGATATTCAGCGGCTGACGAGCGAGTGTTTATTGAATTAAAAAATGCTTATTCTTCTGGAAAACCCATACAAACACTTTCATTTTGGTGTACAGACATAATCCCCTTCAGTCAAAATCCCTACTTTCATTTTTTAAACTACTTTCTGATGTCAAAATTAAACATTTCATTATCAGAATCCAATGGATTATCCTCCGCATCGGTCTCAAATGTAAGCTCAAATACTGACGATTTCTGATAGGCTAATATTTAAATATTCTCGGGGAATACCTTGAAAACAACCAATGATTTACGACGCTACAACGTGGCGACCGGGAAGTAAACAGGACAGGTGTAAAGTCGATATCGACTCGTTATCGTGGCGTTAGGTATAGGAGAGAAGTTAAAACTGATGCATTAATATCGTCAATGAGTTAACTATGCAGTATAACGGCATATTTCTCGAAATATTTCAACTTTGTGACAAGAATCCGCCATGTAAATTTTGTTTGTTTACTTTTATGTTACTATTATTAGTAATATATTGTACATGCATCCACCAGCATTTGATTGGTCAGTTGATTATTTGCTCGGAATCTGATCGTAGCACTTCGCTAATTTACGTGAGAAATCGTAGTGAAATGGGCTATTGTAATTGGGCTGATATAAGCATACTATTGAAAGAATACTAGTATCAAGTTCCAGATGAATTGTTAATGAGTACAAATTGGAATGTTTTACACTGCTTTACACAAAAAATACATTATACTGGTTGTGCAGTACTAAATATCACCTGGTTGTACAGTACTAAATATTAGCACTAGGTTGTACAGTACTAAATAATTTCACCAGCTTAAATAATACTAAACATTGGGATATTTTACACTCTGTTCTTTTGTATATTACAAAAAAATGCATTATAAAATGGTATTTAAGGAACATACTCTGTTCTTTTGTATATTACAAAAAAATGCATTATAAAATGGTATTTAAGAATCATGCTCTGTTCTTTTGTATATTACAAAAAAATGCATTATAAAATGGTATTTAAGAAACATACTCTGTTCTTTTGTATATTACAAAAAAGATGCATTATAAAATGGTATTTAAGAATCATACTCTGTTCTTTTGTATATTACAAAATATGCATTATAAAATTGTATTTAAGAATCATGCTCTGTTCTTTTGTATATTACAAAAAAATGCATTATAAAATGGTATTTAAGAAACATGCTCTGTTCTTTTGTATATTACAAAAAAATGCATTATAAAATGGTATTTAAGAAACATACTCTGTTCTTTTGTATATTACAAAATATGCATTATAAAATTGTATTTAAGAAACATGCTCTGTTCTTTTGTTTATTACAAAAAAATGCATTATAAAATTGTATTTAAGAAACATACTCTGTTCTTTTGTATATTACAAAAAAAAGCATTATAAAATGGTATTTAAGAAACATACTCTGTTCTTTTGTATATTACAAAAAATGCATTATAAAATGGTATTTTAGATTCATACTCTGTTCTTTTGTATATTACAAAAAAATGCATTATAAAATTGTATTTAAGAAACATACTCTGCTCTTCTGTATATTACAAAAAAAAAGCATTATAAAATGGTATTTTAGAATCATACTCTGTTCTTTTGTATATTACAAAAAAAATGCATTATAAAATTGTATTTAAGAAACATACTCTGCTCTTCTGTATATTACAAAAAAAATGCATTATAAAATGGTATTTAAGAAACATACTCTGTTCTTTTGTATATTACAAAAAATGCATTATAAAATGGTATTTTAGAATCATACTCTGTTCTTTTGTTTATTACAAAAAAAATGCATTATAAAATGGTATTTAAGAAACATACTCTGTTCTTTTGTTTATTACAAAAAATGCATTATAAAATGGTATTTAAGAAACATACTCTGTTCTTTTGTATATTACAAAATATGCATTATAAAATGTATTTAAGAATCATACCTCCAGATTCATGTCAATTCTCACAACATTTTAAAAATTGTTTACTTTGTGAAAAGCAAAAATGGCAGCGAATATACCAATGATCTCGGCTGTTCTCTTATGATTATTATCATTATATATGTACATTATTTAAGATAATGAAACATTTTTGAAGGATATTAATTTATACATTCATCACTCAAAATCCAATGATGAATATTTTTTTACCTTTGGTTTTTCTTTTAGTGTTCTTGTGTTGTTGTTTTTTTGTTTGAAGAGTAAATGTTTTTTGGTTTGTTTCTTTTTTGTATGAAGAATAAGTGATTTTTGTAAAGATCTTTTGAAATATATTGTCACATGTGTGTGACAATCATATCCTGATATTTTTAAAGTTGCATGCCTCCAGGTGAGCCAAAATATTTCAAGAAAATTAAACTGGGTAAAAATGTACTTAAGATTTTAAGAAAATTAAAAAGATTTAACATTCAAGTAATAATTTACATGCCATGTGTGATTAAGGACTGATTTTGCAGCATTTATCCTTACATTTCTACTGCGTAACTAACGCAGTAAATGCTAACTTTTGCGTATTTTGACCCCACATTTTGTTAATTTACATGGACTTCAAGTGCTGTTTGCAATGTGTAAATTATTTTATTTGTTCACTTCACAATATTTTAACTTTTTAAAATATTTCTTAAAAATTAATAAATCTAGAGTTGTGCTGCTTTAAATTGCCTGTGTTGAGAGATACCTTTTATCATTTTAACTGATAAGATCTGTTAGGGATGGGTAACTAAATGACTTCATTTTTGTTTTCTATGTAGATATCATTCATTTTTTTACTTTTATTAAAAAAACAACAACAAAAAAACCCAAAAAAGATACATGTAATAAAGGTTCACTTTTACCAATTATGTTTTAGCTGGAAACAATGAACCAACTTTTTTACCCAATTATGTTTTAACTGGAACAATGAACAACTTTTTACCAATTATGTTTAACTGGAACAATGAACCAACTTTTTACCAATTATGTTTAACTGGAACAATGAACCAACTTTTTACCAATTATGTTTAACTGGAACAATGAACCAACTTTTTACCAATTTATGTTTAACCCTGGAACTTTTTTACCAATTATGTTTAACTGGAACAATGAACCAACTTTTTACCAATTATGTTTAACTGGAACAATGTACAAACTTTTTTACGCAATTATGTTTAACTGGAACAAAGAACAAACTTTTTACCAATTATGTTTAACTGGAAACAATGAACAAACTTTTTACCAATTATGTTTAACTTGGAACAAATGAAAAAACTTTTTTACCAAATATGTTTAACTGGAACAATGAACAAACTTTTTACCAATTATGTTTAACTGGAACAATGAACAAACTTTTTCACCAATTATGTTTAACTGGAACAATGTACAAACTTTTCACCAATTATGTTTAACTGGAACAATGTACAAACTTTTTCACAATTATGTTTAACTGGAAACAATGAACAAATTTTTTTACCAATTATGTTTTAAACTGGAACAATGAACAAACTTTTTACCAATTATGTTTAACTGGAACAATGAACAAACTTTTTACCAATTATGTTTAACTGGAACAATGAACAAACTTTTTACCAATTATGTTTAACTGGAACAATGAACAAACTTTTTACCAATTATGTTTAACTGGAACAATGAACAAACTTTTTACCAATTATGTTTAACTGGAACAATGAACAAACTTTTTACCAATTATGTTTAACTGGAACAATGAACAAACTTTTCACCAATTATGTTTAACTGGAACAATGAACAAACGATCATGATGAATAACTAAATTATTTTTATATATTGAAACATTGAACAAGATATAATGATCATGTATGCCCATTTTGATTTCACTATTTTTAATGTTCCAATACATAGACAATCACAACAAATTATTTATATATTATGACAGTAAGATCAACATACATTTTTATTTGGACCAATTTTTAATTCTAAAGTTACATCATTCTAGAAAAATAAAACTTTATATCTATAAAGGTTTTGTTGTTATTTCATGAAAAGGCAATCAAAAAAGTCTTCCTAACATTCAATCTTCTCTGAAACTACTGGCCAGATTTTGTGTATAACATCCTTATGACAGGCAAAGATCATTTAGTTCATACATGTATATCAATAATTATTGTCTCATTTGAGGTGTCACCAGAGCTAAACATAGAAACCCTTTCAACATCTGCTGAACCAACAGATGCCAAACAGTATACAGTTATTTCATATGTTATTTGGGAACAGTCAAACTTTTGGCCTGAGGTGGAGGGTATAGTGTTTTGAAGTGTTATGGCCTTGGGCAACAGTTGGAAACATTCTCCCTGACATCAAGGGACAACATTTTGACTGTTCCCAAATGACATATGAAATAACTGTATACTGTTTGGTTGTAGTACTTTAGGTCAGGGTATCGCATTGTAAGGGAAGGTGCAGGGAAAACCGTATGATTCAGTTTATACATGAGGCGATTGGATGAAAGTGGGGTATTTTTAAGTGTAAAAACTAATTTAAAAAGTAACACTACAATGTTTTCTGAAGAAAATGAAATATTTCATGAGTCTCTGTGATAATTTTGACTTGGATATTTGCATTTTATAAAAAGTGTATGTCAGTCCTTGTGATCAGCAGAAAAATTTCAATAAAATGGGGGGGTATCCTCTTTGAAGTCATTTTTGCAAAAAAAATGTTTGGCTACCCTATGATAACAGGAACATTTTTATGTGTTCAGGCATTTCATTCTTGCTTAGAAAAAATTAGCTCTTTAGCATGAAAACTCATTTTAAGGTAGGTTAGAGCACCATTTCTTATAATGTATCTATGGAAATATTCAATGTGAGTGGCTGACCCTAAAAGGTTCAGGGGAAAATCGGGGGCGGGCAATTTGTAACATGACCAAGCGACTTGGCTGAATAAAAGTGCAGGAAAACCGTTATTTGAATCACTTTATAATGAGGTGATTTTGGGAATGAGAACTGGGGTATTTTTTAAGTATAAAACTAATTTTAAAAGTAACACTACATTGTTTTCTTGAAGAAAAATGAAATATTTTCATGGTCTCTATTCCAGTCCTGTGATCAGCAGAAAATTCAATGAAATGGGGGTAATCTTTTTGAAGTCAATTTTGCCAAAAAAATTTGGTTGGCTACCACTATATAACAGGAAACATTTTTATTGTGTCACGGATTTCATTTCTGCTAGAAAAAATTAGCTCTTTAGCATGAAAACTCAATTTTAAGGTAGGATTAGGGACCATTTCTTATAATGTACGTCTATGGAAATATCAATGTGAGCGTCTGACCTAAATATTATCACCAGATTTTACAGTACTAAAATATTGTCATCTGGTTGTACAGTACTAAAAATTGTCATGAGGTTGAACGATACTAAATATTTTAACAAGGTTGTACAGTACTAAATATTGTCACATGGTTGTACAGTACTAAAAATGGTCACCAGGTTGTACAGTACTAATATTTTCATTAGGATTGTAAAGGGACTTTAATTTGGCCGCCAAGGTGTGTACCAGTACTTAAAATTGTTCTTGATTTGCACCATAACTTAAATTTTCTAACCACCCTACCCCCTGGTTGAAAAAAACAAATTTTAACTTAAAAATATTTTATCTAGGAATGTAAAGTACTAAACATTGTCGTCAGGTTGTTCAGTACTAAATATTGTTACTAGGTTGCACAGTATTAAATATTGTCACATGGTTGTACAGTACTAAATATTGTTACTGGGTTAAACTGGGTAAAAATGTACTTAAGATTTTAAGAAAATTAAAAAGATTTAACATTCAAGTAATAATTTACATGCCATGTGTGATTAAGGACTGATTTTGCAGCATTTATCCTTACATTTCTACTGCGTAACTAACGCAGTAAATGCTAACTTTTGCGTATTTTGACCACATTTTGTTAATTTACATGGACTTCAAGTGCTGTTTGCAATGTGTAAATTATTTTATTTGTTCACTTCACAATATTTTACTTTTAAAATATTTCTTAAAAATTAATAAATCTAGAGTTGTGCTGCTTTAAATTGCTGTGTTGAGAGATACCTTTTATCATTTTAACTGATAAGATCTGTTAGGATGGGTACTAAATGACTTCATTTTGTTTCTATGTAGATATCATTCATTTTTTTACTTTTATTAAAAAACAACAACAAAAAAAACCCAAAAAAGATACATGTAATAAAGGTTCACTTTTACCAATTATGTTTAGCTGGAACAATGAACCAACTTTTTACCAATTATGTTTAACTGGAACAATGAACCAACTTTTTACCAATTATGTTTAACTGGAACAATGAACCAACTTTTTACCAATTATGTTTAACTGGAACAATGAACCAACTTTTTACCAATTATGTTTAACTGGAACTTTTTACCAATTATGTTTAACTGGAACAATGAACCAACTTTTTACCAATTATGTTTAACTGGAACAATGTACAAACTTTTTACCAATTATGTTTAACTGGAACAAAGAACAAACTTATTTACCAAGTTATGTTTAACTGGAACAATGAACAAACTTTTTACCAATTTATGTTTAACTGGTAACAATGAACAAACTTTTTACCAATTATGTTTAACTGGAACAATGAACAAACTTTTTTACCAATTTATGTTTAACTTGGAAACAATGAACAAACTTTCACCAATTATGTTTAACTGAACCAATGCTTTACCAAACTTTTCACCCAATTTGTTTAACTGGGAACAATGTACAAACTTTTCACCAATTATGTTTAAACTGGAACAATGAACAAATTTTTTTACCAATTATGTTTAACTGGAACAATGAACAAACTTTTTACCAATTATGTTTTAACTGGAACAATTGAACAAACTTTTTACCAATTATATGGTTTAACTGGAACAATGAAACAAACTTTTTACCAATATGTTTAACTTGGAACAATGTTACCAATACTTCTTACCCAATTATGTTTAAACTGGAACAATGAACAAACTTTTTTACCAATTATGTTTAACTGGAACAATGAAAACAAACTTTTTACCAATTATGTTTAACTAACAATTGAACAAACTTTTCACCAATATTGTTTAACCTGGAACAATGAACACTGATCATAATGAATAAACTAAAATTTTTTTTATATATTGAACATTGAAACAAGATATTGTGTAATGATCATGTATGCCCATTTTGTTTTCATTATTTTTAATGTTCCAATACATAGACAATCACAACGAAAATATTTATATATTATGACATTAAGATCAACATACATTTTTGATTCTTA